TATCGAAACCAATTCAAAGTTACATTTCACTTATCTACACAGCAGAATATTCTAATTTTTTATGCGATTGCAGATCTTCACCATAAAGGAAAATCAAAACGGTTAGTGCGTTAATGTGGCGCTTCCCAATTTGGCGGATAGAGTATTGCTTGCGGGCTATACGTGAACTAATGCTTCTCTGAGACGCACAGGATGGACTGCCTGTCTGTACATCGCTGCGTTTACGCAAACCTTATCTGTTTACGAAGACATCTTGAAGCATGAATGCACTGGCGTGTTCTCATTTATATGGATTGTGTTCTCGGCCAAAAGCCTGAAATCAGCTAAGCGCCAAGAATATAGAAAGCGCCTACGATTGATCTCCGAAAAATAAGCTCACCATCTACTCCGGGAGAGAAAGACAAGCTACCCGTGCGTGTACTCAGCACCACGTTTACGATTCGGCAAACTATACATGGATGTTAAAAGTTAGACACTCCAACAAACAGTACAGGGCTCTTTTCCTGGGCTCTAAAGAGCTCCAAATGAGACATCGTTGCGTAGAACCAGTACGGATAGACGACTAAAATCTCAGGAGCATTCTAGGTTACCTAAGTCGTAAAGGTCTCATGCGACGATTTTTACTTACAACGAGCGCGCACTTGCATCTGAGTCCTCGACAGAGGACTTGTCCAAGCAGGCAAAAAGGATACGGTATGAGATCATCGGACTGGCCAAAACGAAAAGACGTCGCGCATTCGACACCGCCCATGAGACCAGAAAGGAGCTGTTCCTCGGAACATGAGACAACAGAGGAGTCGGCAGCGTCGGCGTTCCCGTGAACGCAAGTTTGTCCATGAACACACGCTACTCCGAACAACCTGAATTCCGACGACCTAATGTTCGGACGTTCATGGTTGGGGTGACGTGAATCAATTCCGGTTTTGACGGTTTTCGCCGCTCACGAATGGACATCGTGCTATGACGAAGACGAAGGAGAGGCCATCAGTACGAACTTGGAGAAGTTCTACACAGTATACCATACCTTCTTTAAGTTCGTCACTGGAGATTTCAACGCGAAGAATGGATGCAAAAAAACGGCTGAATAACGATATGTAGAGACCAGCGGATTAGAATGGACTGAGCAATGCGAGTCTCTCTAAGTTAATCATGACGAAAATGAGCATTCATCGTGACTCACAATTCGGGAAGCCCCACTCCCAACGCTGGACGTGGGAATCTCTCAGTGGAGCGTACCGCAAAAAATTGATCATGTCATAACAAATCGAACCTTTGCCCATCCAATTTCGCTGTTGTTCAAATTCTACACGACATCAGACCATTGCCTCTTTGGTACAAGATTTCATTCCGCGCAGAAAGGAGAAAAAGCCATTCAATTCAAAAAAGTTAAAACCACCACAAACTCGGATTTATTCATGTCGGATACTCTGCTATTGGAAAGACGCCGTTATCGATAATATCGACGAGATACGATCGGCTCATTCAACATGTTCGAGTTAGCGCAGTGAAACCTAACTGTGCAAAAGCCATCAAGAGGCAACAGTGATGCTGATATGCCAGCGTAGAACTAAACGAGCTGGAGGCAGCTGCCAAGTCATGTCCGAATTTGCAAAGCAATGCAGAAACGCAGTGCAGATCTTAATAAGAGAAAAATAGCAGCTATGCTCGAAGCAGCAAAACGTGGGAAATGTACACGCAGGAACGTTGCTACTTGCAAGACAAAGATTATTGCCCACTGGCGCACAAGCAGAACAGTTGTGGCTTCCAGAATGGCAATGGAAAAGTCATTCGGAATTACTGCTCGGATCTCTTCAAAAGCGACGTTCTCCTGTCATCTACGAAACAGAGGAGGATGAATATGTTCCACCATCGATACTCGTTCACGAAATCCGACCTTCTATGTCCTTAGTAAAAAATGGACCAACAGCGGTTGGACACAGGGTAACATCTGTTTTACATCTGAAGAATATTCTGACCTCATAAATATACTTGCCAGGTACTTCAAACGTTACCTCTCAGAATCAAAACCTCGTATTCACTGGAAGAGCAGCATGACTGTGCTATGTTTCGAAAAGGGTGATCTAAACGATGTCGGCACGCAACGCCCAATCTACTTGCTGTGTTTTGTCTATAAACTCTTCACTGCAGCTGTCGCAAAAAGGATTAACAGAATACTGTAATAGTGTTTGAAGGATAAACATGTGAGCAAGCAGTGTTCGAAAAGTATTTGGTAGTATGGGCCACATCCATACGATAACAATACATAGTGGAGTGTCGTGAGAGCACAGGAGACCGCTCTGTCTCAATTGTATAAATTTAGAAAAAGCTTTTAACTCAGCTGATATATAAGCAGGCATAGAAGTCCTGGACCATCAGGATGTCACCATTTAGTATATTAAGATTCATCATAACCTATGCCGATGTCTTCGACTCAGCGATTCTTCCAAGCTTAACGTATGCATCAGAAACCTAGTCGCTACGTAAGCAAGATAAAAGACCTTCCAGTGCTCAAGAGCACACAGTCGAAAAGAAGATGCTAGGAGTAAGAAGTATCACGAACGTGAGGGAAGCGATCTGATGTTGCGATCAACGTCAACAGTCGAAAATCAAAGGAACCGTTCTACGTCCATCACTGTGGTTACCACCTTTATTTATCCCATTGCCACTGCAGTTTTTTCTTCATACATAGACCACAAAAGGAAATGTCATGTGTACCGTAGATAGCTACCAACTGACTCACCATCACCTCCTCACGCAACCCAATGAATAAAGTGCTGATGGTTTTGGAGCTGGAGCGATGTTTATACCTAGTAATGGGAAATCTTTTCCAGAATCGTGCCACTATTTGATGATTGGAAATCCATGATTTTCTGAGACTTAAGTTTGCAGGTTTGGAAAAAGTGGATCGGGAACAAGGCGGAAACAACCCAATCGGAGAGGCGATCGTGACCATCGAAAAAATTTTGAGGTGAGCTAAGGAAGAATTTACACGCTCATAATAGCAACGCAGGCTCCTAAACATCTTGCTAAATGTTTAATTGTACATCGATCAAAATTTACGTTCGGAGCCTCGTGCAGAACAGTGGGCTATTAAGTGACTGAATATCGTGGGTGACTGTTTCTTTTAGGTAACTGGGGCTACGTAGATCTTTATATAGCCAATAATTCAGAGATGCAATTGCTATTGCTGTCCTGTGCCCACAAGAACCCATGCTTTATATTTCACTTTTTTGTGGGGGCGTACAACCATGTATATTTTAACGTGAATGATGACTTCATTCATTTCGAGACCTTGGATAGTGTAAAGTGTGCACAACTATGATCATAAGGTGCTAATGATGATTTGTTCATCTACGAACTTTTGTTGCTAATCAAGAAGCGAAAAGTGTATTTCGGGACATTGTTAAACTCCTTGCGTTATACAATAGCAAAGATCAGCGCTCTTAATGCCAATGTTAGTGACCATAATCGCACTCGAAGCAACTAGTGGTAAATGGTTTCGCTTCCGAAAGGATGAGCGAGTTCGTGTACTCGGAACCTAACAGAAACGTGGCTCGTCTTTGTTGGCATACCAGGGAACGAATCTTACCAATCATCAACATACCAAATCAGTGAAAAATGTGGACTAATGGCTGAGTGATTCTTCGAGAAGATTTGCTGTTTGTATAGATGCAAGAGGAACAAAAAGAGAATGACGGTGTACAGATAAACTCGTTTTGCATTTTTAACGACTACCGAATAAAGCAAAAACCTCCATGGAGGTCAATTCACAGATGCCTTGCAGGTAAATGAGAAAGAACTGAACCAAACCAACTCATTACTTGGCGCCTGAGATTGCAGTACACGTGCGAGATTCTGCGCAAGCACGAGAATAAAAACATTTATGAATTTGTACCTGACGCCAGAATAAACTCTTTTCCGGCGTACTCTGGAATCAACAGTTCTTCCTACCTCGTTTTAGTGCCCTTTAACACCTGCTCCATTTCCGTCTCTTAGATAAATTAATCAATGAAGTTGTCAAGAATGAAAACTTATGTTCAGAACAGACATGTACCTGAGCTGTTGCTAAGGAATTATGCGATAAAGCCTTAGCTTCGCGACATAATTGTATTAGACGGCTCCTCTAATATGTTATTCAGTAAAAATGATGAAAAATAAAGCTGCAAATAACGATTAGCAACAAGTGCCACCGTCCCGATCCAGCCGTTGTTGTCCGCCTATTTTCATTCGTTATCAATAGTTTCAGTTATTCGAACAACGTATTAATGAACAATGAAGTGGGTATGAAAAAGCTGATTCTCATAAAGGAGATCGAGGACCTCCCGGTTTGTGATTTGATTCTATAAGGGATATGAAGAGAAATTTATGAGTTCTTTATTCGTTATTTCTAATTCTAGCCCGATTTTCTGAAAGGCTCCAACGTCATGCTCTGTTCGCTAGAAGTTAGATGGATTTGCGCGGAGAAGAAGCTGAAGATTGAGAAAGATGATACCGTGAAGTTAATCCTATTTAATGATTCGACAGTACTAGTAAGTCGGTTCTGTTGAAAAGACACATACATGCAAGCGAACATTAAGACATAAAGGTAGAGATGCAAAACGAAACAAACAAACACACAAATAAAGAAACAAATTTGTATAAATACATACATGGCATATTGCTTGCTCCAGTGGGAAATAGAATAGTAGTTGTTCGTGCTTGTCCTCTGTCCGCCAATTGCAGGAATGCACGACTTTCCTACTTTGCCACGAGAGACTTCTATTGGTGCAGTCGTGTACGCCTGTAAAGCTCATACTTGGGCAAGCAAACCTTGCATGCACATAATATTTACACCGCAATGTGATTAGACGGCTGTAAATGAATGTACAATACACAGTTTCGTAATATCGACAGCGGTATAATGTAATTAAAGAAATGTACTCATAGCAACACTGAGTCTACTACAGTATCCTTATATTGCGTATTGAGGGGAAGCTACAGCATAGGAGGCTAGATAGAGATGATAGAGAATATAGAGCAACTTAGCCGATGGCTGAGGGGATGGTATGGTGTATAAGTGTGTCGGAGAGTTGAGCAGCGCCTGTAGAAGAGGTTAGCCAGAGATGAGTTAATAATTTAGTCGCAGACTTGGGGGAATATTACGATGTATAAATGTTGCACGGAAGGACCGTTATGGCAAACATATTACTATGCAATAGGTTACATGCAGTTACGAGAAATGTCCTCCATCGACTTATAAAATACATTTGTTAGGTAAATAGAGAATTCTCTAAGAGAATTTCAGATTTGTAAACGGAAGCGCACATTTGGAGAAAACACGTGGTTGGGAAAAACAGTCGTCACAAGAACGATGCTAGGAAATAAAAAACAGTATGCGTCAATGCGTTTTTCATATCAGTCTGTTCTGTTTGAAATGATTCGACATAAGGTGTTGCGCGGATCCCGTCAGTTTCTTCAGTCAATGTGTTTACTCTCGAATCCATCGTCCACGAAGTTTTAGATTTGAGTGTGGGCTTGGCTGTTGCTCGAGGATTTTAGGCGTAGTGAATATCATGAACTGCTAGTAACGTGAATTTGCCCAATACACCAAGGATAGCCGTGAAAGGACATTCTCAGCGCATCATCAAGAACAGGCGCATTTTTTTGCATCTGGAGTTGAAGGAAGCGATTCTAGACGAGTCGCATAATAAATCCCTGACCCCAGAGTCACGAATAGCTTGGTCGACTCGAATGGAGTGGTGACCGCGACACTGCTCATAGTGAGCGGTATCACCATTATCCACCCATTTAATCACTATTGCAATAAAAGTGCACGGCCCATTTAGGATGCTTGTATGGCACAGAATAACTTAGGATTTACTACAATAAACAGAACTATGACTTTCAAGCTAAAGATTCAAAGTTGCAGACAGTCCAGTCATAAGTTTATCATGGCCATTCAAGCACATCAATTTCGAAGTGTTTGTTTCATCCACATTTCACCATTGAAAGGTATCCATTTAGCTTAAACGATTCTATGGACATTTTCTTAAATCCACATTTAATGAGTAGTTCCTTCTCATAAAAAATATGAGAAAGTTAAACTCCAGAGAAGAAGGCCAAAAACAGCCTTACCCTAAAACCTTTTACAGTGTAAAATTTTGGCTAGCACAATTAATGTCGGCCTGCAGATCGACCTCACATATTGCGGCGACACTCGTCAATAGGCTAGAAGCTGTTTATAATAAGCTGAGGTTAACAAATAATTTACCTCATAATGGCTTGTATTAGAACGTATTTCACCTTCCAAATGTTCGTTTTCTCGTGCACTCCAATTCTCTGCGAGGGTAATCCCATTTTGTAAACAAGCCAACTGCGCAAAGAACCCGTAGGTGAGCGTTGTTCTTTTTAAAAACACGTTTTGTAATTGCGCCTCGTCTGCGCGTTGAATGCTGGACATTTGTGGAGAGTCGGACTACGGCAACGAATTTCCCACTATTCGACGTTGGCAGAATTCTCAAAATTCACAAGAACGCCAGGCTTCGAACTGGTTTTGTTCCGTTCCAGAAGAAACGAAGGAACCGAAACGTACATCGATTTGCTGTTGGGAAATAAGGGACAATCTTGGAGACAGCACTTGGTGCGTTGAAGCCGAATACAAACAAATGGAGGAATTCGTGGAATTGCTTGAAGATCTCATCAAAAAAATTTCCGTAAGTGGCTTCAAAATTCAATTGCACATCATTTCAATGGTAACGACACAGACGCAGTCATTTTCATTCTTTAGTGTCCTTAAATATCATGATAAAGCTCCGCACTCTGCCTCTCAAGGAAATCCGCTGGAAGAAGAGGTGACCTTAGCGATGAGAAGCATTCTAGTTGCGCGCAAAACATGTTTATCTAATCTTCATCACAAAAAAATAAAGGATAAAGCTCCCGGCGTTGATCAATCTCTGAGGGATGCGCCATGCATTCGACTTCACTAAGTATCGTTGGAGGTGATTGAATACATATTTGGCCCTTAGAATGACTTGCGGTAACCTACTGATCTATCCACCCAGTACTGCTGTCCTCCAAGACAAGTCTGGTACCAACTTGCCGACCCCGGAGCGATGGAAAGCTTGGTGGGCCGGTTCCACGTGTGTGTTGCAGGGCGCCTCCGACCACTGCGCCACACGCATCTCTCTTCATCACAATATAATGTTAAACAATAGGCTTAAAAACGTAATATATCCCATCAGCCATTAAAAAGAATTATCATTAATGGGGACTCGATGAGAACACGACTTCTATCAAGTTTTTGTGTCAGTGTCAGTCGCCGTCACAATTTAGAAGAACAACTCTTCTTGAGCAGTCCGATAACGTCCAACTTGTTGCTAGCTTGCAAACTTTCACTGGAAGTGTTTGTGAGAAATATGCAAATAAGCCATTAAAAAATAATCTCATGTGCCCGCTAATAAGTACTAACCGCAACAAGACACACTGCTCCTCAAACAGCGAATCATATTGGACGGCGAAAATCGACCGACATTCGTCCTGTGTAAAACGCTACCATCGAACGATGTTCCCCATTTGATCGCTGTTCCCACACTTGGTACGACTCTATGCGACAAGGACCAGCTGTGGGTCAACAACTGGGATCAACGTGGTTTTGAAGAAGGCGAACGCACGGAGACGTAAGCTGAAGAAGGATTTTGTACCAACATCACGTTAGCTCAGGAATGTAAAAAAAAAACAATTAAATCATTTGCACTTGATTCGGAGTGCTGCTAATTGGATAAATCGATTTCATACCAATCTCGTCTCAGCAAAATCATATAACTGAAAGTTGTTGAGTCCTTATAAGTTGATTTGGAGTTCTGGTAACTCGATAGACTGACTTTTTAAAGTTTCTGGTACTTCAGAACGATCGAAGCCTCCATTTCGACACACAGATGAAACTCGCCGATGTCCCGCATGTGTGTGGACACGTTTTGAAAAGAGAACTGAAAAAGTATGATTAAATAATCAGTCGGACGTTCTGAACCGGATACGCATATTTTTACCACCTTTTTTAGAGGTAGAATCAAGATAACGAAAGATGGCAACCAGAAGGAAGCAGAAGAGCAGCAGAAATAGTGTCGATCGCACAAATACTTGGATTCGGAATGGAAAATGTGAGATGTGGCGCTGCTTGGGCTCTCCTTCAACTGAATTCAGTACCAACACAAGAGCATTTTTATCTACGTGCTAGAAAGTAGCTCGCGATTTCGTTACGCAATTGAGAGTTTATGTGCCTTGAAAATAGGAAAATGCTTGGGAATCCGACGGTGAACAAAGAATTCGGATAAGTACAACAATGACTTTTTACTAATGAACGATGAAATATTTGCTTATTGTCGAGGAAGACAGGAAAAAAGTTAATAGTTAACGAGAATGATCAATGGTAGATACATACTCTTTACATGATATGCTATGTGAGGATGACACTCTTTGCCAAACTGTTTGTCTCACGTCTCCTACTTCCTTCACTTGGACTGAAGAGATGGGTTTAATGTGCATTCAATAAGATTAGTCAGACGACTACAGTTTTGCGCTATGTTGCAGTTTCTAATTTGAACGCCTCAGCTCACTTCTTTGTCCACCCACCCGAAGAAAAGCACTCTGCACAAGACTTTTTTTGTGATTTCAAAATTTCTTTCCATGATTTTTCGCTGCGAATATAGTCTCTGCGCTTCGAAGAGTTTACACACCATTTCATCGAATCGAAGCGAAACTTCTAGAGAAGTCTTTCTGAAGCCCATAAGTTACACCATCGTACCGACGGCAAACAAGGAATGTTTCTTTTCACTAAAATAGGCAACGGTTAAAAAAGAGTTAGACGGATTGTGCCTTCGCTAAACGAACATCTCGACCACACCATTTTTTCAACTCCATCCCTACTAGTTGTTCTTTATTTCCGCAAATTCAGTTCATCTGGTGTTGTTCTGTATTCTTTCGTACTCCTGCGTTAGATCTTAAGCTTAAATTTCTCCTTTGGTTCATCGAATGTGTCAAGTACAAAACATATATTTCACTTTCACTAGAAGCAAAATTTATAACAAAATACTCAGCAGGAAGTACTTCAGGTCGACATCAGAAAGGTGGAGATCGGCCAGCCCTCTAACTGATCATGTTTTATCGGTTATGGAAGAAACGAAGAAGTGAATGAAATGGGATCACAGCTTTTGCGAAAACGCGTTGTTTCTTGCAGTGCTTACAAAGTACAATAAAATTTAAAGTGACGGAGCAACGTGAGGCGTCATATAATAACCCAATGCTTTGTCTAGTTACGGGCTTAAAATATAACAGATTAAAACACTGTTAGCGTTGCCCAGTGTTAGAGCAATTACACGTTCTTATATATGCATATCATGTAACACACGAAATGTACGGTACGCTGTAAAAGTGCGGAGCACAAGCTGAAGGTCTGGGAACTCCAAGTGTCCATCTTCTGTGCAGTGGGTCAGAGGGTATCATCAGTACGTTTGATACTTGAATCTTCCGTCCTCACTGTTGTTCGGGCCCCAGCATAATCATCATTTTTTCG